CTATATCTCAAACCTTGTCTCAAAGTATCACCCTGACCGCCCCCTCCGCTCTTCCAAAGACCTCCTGTTTTCCAGCTTCCTCATCAACTCCTCCCATGCTCGCCTCCAGGACTTCATTAGAGTCTCTCCCATCCTATGGAACTCTTTATCTCAACCTGTCCGACTATCTCCCACTCTGACTGCCTTTAGGCGATCCCTTAAGACTCATCTCTTCAGGGAAGCCTATCCCACCTCAACCTAACCACGTAACCATCACATTCTCAAACAATTCAACCCTACAAAGATCCCTCCTCATGTATCACTTGCCCCTCCCTTTTAGATTGTAAGCCCTCACGGGCAGGGCCCTCCTTACCATCTTGTCTTGAATTGTATTATGATTGTAATGTCTTCCTTATATTGTAAAGCACTGTGCAAACTGTTGGCGCTATATAAATCTTGTATAATAATAATAATAATGATACTTTAAAGACCACTTTGTAGCTTAAATTCGGTGAACAGGCAAACTAAATGGGATGTTTCCCCGCAGATCCAACTCTCAGTCCAGAGATGCTACATTTACCTGCGGTATACCTACTGCTAGTAGATGTGACTACTTCCCGCATCTCTTGGTTACTAGAAAGCTAGGGGCCACGGGCATCCTAACAACCACTAATGCGTCCTCATGACCTTCAGTCAGGAGACTTTCCAGTCAACAGCTGAATGCAAACAAAAGGGTGTCTACAAGTTGGTGACATCATTGACTAAATATGGCCATGAACATATTTGGTCAATTACATCACACCTTTGTTTAAATTCCAGCTGCCAGGCTGGGGGAGGTGCCATTAGTGTTGAGCAATCATCAGGTGCAGATGTATTGGTGGGTCAGCATGTTTGTATTGTTTTAGTGGATCAGCGGGGCATCGTTCATGGTGATTGAGGAGGTTCTGCATCATTGAGCGACCATCTTTTTTTTATAAAGAACCCCTTACTCAATCACATTGGGCATCCAGATTCCGATGAACAGTTTGCCCTCAGACCCCCACATCCCCTTGGGGACTGGATATGGTGAAGAGGTCCTTGTCCTCATCAACATAGGTAGCCTTGCTGCCTGCCCTTTCCTGGCCAGCCAAGCTGCATGATCGGATAAGAACTGGTATTAATTTTGGGAGTGGCCCATGTTCCTTTTTGTTTGCTTTTTTGCATGAAGTACCCCTTAAAATCCACTACCAGACCTAAAGGTTATTAATAGGAATTGTGCATTTTTAAAGTTGTTCCTTAGACATAATCAAAACAGCTGCGCTCAGCCAAGTGGTATTTTATATATTTATTTATTTTTTTGTATCTTTACATGTACCCCATAGCAGTGTTCAGCTTCCCGTACCCTTTGTTTTACAATCCCTTGTCTATTAGTCTTAGAAATAACCAAGAAGGGCACATTTGGCTCATCGCTAGTGGAAACTGTTCACCTTGACTTAGTAAATCAGGTGAAGCTCTGCTAATTTTGGTCATCAAATCATGTGCAAGGCAAATCCCTATTTTTCATTATCTCTTGCACATGAGTGGGCATTCATGTTGTAATGCAATGGGGCTTTTTAAGAAAATATGCAGGTGAGAGGTGAACTAACCCTTTAATATACAGGCAAAACAAGCCAACTGCAAAGCTGGCCTCATCAGAACAATTTGTAATGCCATCAGAGACTTTTAGAATGTCATTCAAAATTTTGTTTGGTTTCAACATCCATTTTCGGAAATTAATGGAGTTTCTCAAATGAAAACCACATTCACTCCAAGAATTTCCTTTGCTCGAGAAAAAAATGTCATCCTGCATTGATTTTTCTCATCACAGTTATTATTTTGACCACGTCAACTATTATAAAATCAATCAAATGTTCCACCAACAAATGTTTTTTTAACAAAATTCTAATGCTGCTGTATTGCCAGATTTAGTAAAGACCAGAAGACAGAAGTAGACAGTTGTCAGTAAAACTATATTTATGTCCCCAAACATACAGCAAACATACCTCTTGAGACAACAAGCATTTTTTAGAAGTAAATGTTGGAAATTACAGCCTCATTAATCCTTCATGACAAATTTCTGCTCGTATCTTTCAGCCTCCTTGTGGCAGACCCTTGTAATGTTTAGATACATCGTATGCTGTTTCAGTGCATATAATTGTGCTTGCTTACAGAGAAAAGAAACTAAGCAGGAATAATGATAGGGTTTGCATAATATGTTTTTTCCTTAGGAAACCTCTGCAAACAGTAACACACTGGGGGTGATTTACTAACCTAAACACACACACGCACCGGGTGCGTGTGCATTTTTACACAGCAAAAGTTATTTATCAACCAAACACAAGCAACGTGTCACATTTTCACGCCGTTATGACGCGTTTTTATGTATTTACGTACGTGCGCGTCATGTAGCATGCGCCATAGGCTACACGCCGCTCTAATAGCGGCATGCAAGTCTCTAAAAGCATATTTCCACTAATGCCATATATGGAAAAATCATGCACATGATGCAAATATAATGCTGCTTCACAGTTTAGACAAAAATGGTTAGCTCATGCATTTACATTCCTGCATTCATCAATGCAAGCAACACAACATAGAGCTAATTTACACAACATCACCTTGCAATTCATGCAGGGCTTTGCACAACACACCTGCTGGGTGTGTACACACTACAAAGGTGTCTAGATTCCACCAATAGATCATGCTGGGAGGGAACACACTACAGAGGTGTATACTTGTTTGTGGCGTGTTTATAAGGTTAGTAAATCAACCCCACAGTGTTTGGATTTGAACCCTAATTATAATTACTTAAATGTCTCATACAGTACGTTAAAGTATGATTGTACAACATCTAAGCAAGTTATTCAATTTACATCCAATCGGATAGGCACACACACTACATTGTTGTTGGTAAATCTAAAGTAGATTGTACAATCAGATTGTAATATGTGGTGCCTGCTTAAATTTTACTGTATACGGTCAACTTACAACACGTGGTGCTTGAGTTTGTGTTTATAATATGGTACTTATAACATTTGTTACCAGAGGGCCGCTGAATATTTAGGGGTCTATTCTAGGGCTGTGGAAATTAACGATTAATTCCTCGATTAATCGTTAATTTTTTTGATCGATCAAAATTCTTTTGATCGGTACTCACCTCTCCGCCGGCTTCCAGGTCTTCCGGGAGTTCCGTCGGAGATCCTGTGATGTCACGGACATCGACGTCACCGGACTCCTCCCCCCTTCCCCAAGTGGCTCTGTTCGCTAACGAAGGGAATGGGGGAGGAGTCTTGACCCCATTTTTAAAAGGGGTGCACGATTTTTGCATCTAACAAGTGTCTGGTCCTGCTATTAACTAGCTATCAATTGGTTAAAAAAAAAAGTGCACTCAATTATTTAATTAATCAAAATTAATCTATTAAAAATGTTTTTGATTAATCGAACATAGAAATGTTAATCATTAACAGCCCTAGTCTATTCACAAAGCTGCCGAAGGATCTAGCCGTAGCTTCGGCTGATCCTTCAGCTAGCTTTGGCCCCAGAACCCCTTCGGTTCGGTAGAACTGAAGGGCTGCTGTACGGGCTATTCACTATAGCCTGTACAGCTCCCGAAGTTGACCGAGTGGCTCAGTTGAGCCGAAGGCATATGCTTCGGCTCTATTGAGCTGAGGTGAAAGCCGAAGCTGGCCGTCCGACAGCCTGCTACTGACAGCCGGTGCGGAGCCAGCCGTCATCTCACTGCTGGCTCCGGGCCTCTTGCAGAGACAGATCAGCATCCTAGGAAACCAGGGATGCTGATCTGTGATTACACTGAGAACCCGCCGGCCGAGTTCTCAGTGTGTAATGACAGTACAGCGTCCCTGGCTACCTGGTAACCTGAGGACGCTGATCTGTCATTATGATGAAAGCTTAGTAGAGCCGGCGGTGATATGAAAGCCGACTTTGCTGAGCTCTCATGGTACTGACAGTTCAGCGTCCCTGTTTACCAGAGGACGCTGATCTTTCAGTACCATGAGAACTCAGCAAAGCCGGCTTTGATACCACCGCTGGCTCCATCAAGCTCTCATTGTAATGACAGCTGGTCCCGGCCAATAGAAAACAGTTGGGCGGAGCTAGCTGTCACTGCTAGCTCCGCCCAATCGGTTTCTATTTTTTGTTACTTTTTTTAACTGCTTTTCTATTCTGCTCGGTACCACAGAAGGTACCGAGCAGAATAGCCGAGTCAAATGCCGCTCAGCGGCATTCGGCTATTCACTCACTGCTGTTCGGCATCTATGAGAATAGGCCGAACAGCAGCGAGTAGCCTGCCGGAGGTTCGGCTCAGCCGATCCAGATGTTGGATCGGCTGAGTCAAACTCCTTCTGTACTTCGGGTCGGCCGAACATACTGAGCATGTTTGGCCGACCCGTAGCCAGCCGCAGCAAGCCGATGTACAACTGATTTTAGTCGGTGCACTGCTGAAATCAGCCGTACAAGCCTGAAGTGAATAGCTGAACAGCATTCGGCTCACTTCACTACGGGTCGCTTATTCATTCAGCTGCCTACGGCAGCTGTGTGAATAACCCCCTTACATTTCTGCAATGCTCTCCATCTCTGTGTACATTATACTAACCATCCACCTTCTGCACTGCTTTGACAGAATAAAACTGTGTGCAGTGTATGAAATAGTTTCCCAAAAAGAAAAATCCCACTTCCCAAAAGCCAATCACTGAAACAGCTGGGAAGATGTAACATTTGCTATGTGAGGTTTGTGCAGGAGAAGAACATTCATTGGATGGAGTGTTTGGGATTTCATTTAGCACATCCTTAAAATCATGGAAAATAAAGGGAAAGAGCGGTCTTTGTTCCCCATCTAGGCATGTCGGCACATGTCCTGTACAACAATAGAAAATATGAAAAGAATTAAAAGAGATGCATTTTGTATGAATATCTTCATTTCAGAAATGTCTGCTCTTGTTTATATTTATTTACAAATTATGAAATGTATATCATTATGGTTGCAGATTGGGGTTGAGCTACAACAATATCATTACAGTTGAAAATGGGTCCATTCCTAATGTACCCCATTTACGGGAACTACATTTAGATCACAACAGTCTGACACAGGTGCCTGCTGGACTCAATGAACACAAATACATCCAGGTATAGTAAGATTTTTCATTTGTAATTTCTTATTTTAAAAACAAATTAATTTCAGCCAACCGATGCAATGTTGCCCACTGTTTTTCTAGTATCCAATTTTTAGTATCCAATGCAGTCATACTGCAAAAACACAATTTTACACAACTTGTTCCTATTTGAAGATTTAGCACTTTTCTGCTCAGTGATCATGTCTGCTTCATATCCCTCCCTCTCGGCACCAATGGGAAGAGTCAGCAGGGCACCCTACATCTCTTGCTTATGTTGGTTCACCCTACCAGATTACCAAACTGAATTCAGTTTTACTGACTTTCTCAAGCTGATTCAGCAGAAATTGCTGTTTTACTGTGTAAAGTACAAGATAAAGCTTGCAGCTTACTGAGGTTGACAAAAAGGTCCATAAAATCTTACCTACCCTAGCAAAAATAGAGCTGCTGCACTGTTACCAAGAAGGCATCTATCAAGCATTTAAAAGTAAACTGATGAAGCTGGAGTTTGTTTTTAAACATATTTGTTGATAGTATTTCAGGACAGACACTATTGCTTAGAATTATTTATAAAGCAATATGACCATAAAATGTCTTTGTGTATTTGTATGCTCACTGAATATCAAATGTTTGTTTGTAGTAGTGTGTGGTAGGTTTATGTATTTAATATTGGACAAAACCTTTGCACATTTAAGAAATTTCATTTGATAAGTTCTGAGCAGGGTAAGTGCTGGTTTGCATTGATGGCAAGTGAACTGGTAAAGTGACTTAAGAGAACATTCATTAGTTCATCCCAATCACTACAAAGTGCACAACAGGGACCAAACCAAGAAGATTGCATCTATGACTGGTTAGAGGCTTTCTAGCGAATAAGAATCCCTGCTGCTCACTATATTAGTCATGGAGATGAATAATGTTTGTGAAAATGTAGCATTGTGCATTTTTTTTGTTTTCAATAGAGCAGGGAATGGTAAAAACGTGTTACTTTTATTTATTTATTTTTGCAGTCTATGCCCCATTGGAGAAAGAGGAAAACACTACAAATTTGGACAGTTATCACCAGAACAGATGTACCTATTGAAAAATGTATCCTCTCATTTTTCTGGTAACATTTGTACAAAGTGTTGGCTTTCCCATCACTTTCTGTCTCAATAACAATGGTCATCAGTAAAACAGAGAGGGTAAAACATCCCAATGAGGACAAAGATAGCAAATAAAACCTGTCAGAGGTTCTAATCCTTCTACGCTGTATTCAAAACTAAGAAAATAGTTTTGTATTAGGATACATTTATAATGATGTTTTGTTGTCACTTTTCATAGTCTATGTATTGTCATGTGTACTTAAAGCATAATTCAAGGTATTTATTTTTGCTTTTTTGTGAACATTTAATGTTTTTTATTTGTATGTTTGTTTGTTTTTTTACTTTATGAGCTCTCTGTAAACTCAGTTGAGGGCGGCTGGAATATACAGCAGGAGCTGCACTTCTAGTTCACTGCTGCATTGGAGCTGTATCTATTTCTATGACACCAGTTCCGGTGTTGTGTCTCCACCCCACCTTCCTTTCTCCTGTGCCTTTCATGTAGCACAAAATTGTCATCCAAATGCAAGCACTTTCGGGGCCATGCAGTGTCCCCTTCATCAGGCTCAGTCATTCTGAGCCTGATGAAGGGGACCCTGCGGGGCCCCCGAAAGAGCTTGCTTTTAGACGACAATTTTGTGTCATTAAATGGACAGGTTTCACGTTACATTGGTGTGCTGGTGACATTCTTGAATTTGATGTTACTTCACGGTGACATCCGTGGTCATTTCAAGCACCCACCTGGATCACACAGGTTCTAACTACAAACTGGTAAGGAGTGCAGCAAGGTACATCTGTATATTTCATGTAGCACAGACGCAATATCAGTACTGTGCTTTCTGAATGGCACAGCAGAGAGAACAGGCAGAGGCAAAACACTGGAACTGGTGTCTTTCATAGACACCATTCTGATGCAGTGAGTTGGAAGTGCAGCTCCTGATGTATATTCCGGCAGCGCACAGCAGAGCTTACAGAAAGCTTCTGCAGTAAAAGGGTTAAAGGTTCACAAAAAAAGTAAAAATAACCACCTGGAGTTGGGCTTTAATTTGACTTACAGAACATCTATGCTAACATATATTGCTCTGGGATTTATTTTAGGTTGTGTACCTCCATAACAACAAAATTGCTGCTGTCTCAACAAATGATTTCTGCCCCACTGGATACAACACAAAAAAGGCTTCTTATTCAGGCATCAGCCTCTTCAGCAATCCTGTCCAGTACTGGGAAATCCAGCCAGCCACATTCCGATGTGTATATGAACGCTCTGCTATTCAAATTGGAAACTACAAGTAAAAGTGATTTGCTGGCCAATGTATTTTATTTCCATTAAATGTTCCTTTGTTTGTCTGCATATTTGTTTCAAAAAACCTTAGCAACAAATAAAAAGTCAAATACTGGAAATGGCCCAAAATAATAATTTGTGACCGTGTTTCATGAAACATTGGCTTCTTGGATCGAAAAGGGGTTTGCTAGTGATATAGTTCATGATGCATACCCATTGTATGAAGGTAACCTATACTGCATGAAACATGGATTTTTGTTATTATACAATTTTAAGTTTCATATTAAGTATGAACACAGAAAAAAACTGCATGTATTAGTGAATTAAGTGTGAGGCTCTTGCACAAAAAAAGAAGAACAGTGTTAGTAATCCTTAGCTTTCAACCACTAAAACGTTGCCGAAGTCAGTCTTGAACAAACAGATGTAGTCAGAGTTATGCCAAAGTTTGATTCCATCTGCTTTGTCTTTTGGGATAATTTACTTAAGGGTAAAAAATGTACTCATTTCATGATCATTTTCTTTAAAGGCCTGCTTTTCTAAATGTCTTCTAAATCTGATGGGTCTTATGGCATCAGCACAGACTTGTTGAGTTTACACCCTTTATTAAGTTATTCCCTAAGTTTAAAATAACAAAATCTATATCTGCATTTTAAACTCAGTAGGGGTAGAAATAGCATACATACATAGCACAATGGTTGAAGACATTTTAAAATTAGTGATATGGATTTAATTCAGTTAAGTATAAGTCCTCCAAACCAGGTACGTTAAAATTATTCTGGTGGGTGGATTATTTAATCAGATTCTCATATCTCTCATGAATGTCTCAAGTTAGATCTCACTATTGTAGCATCTATAACTATTCCCCTGCCATGTTCATTGCACACAGGTCACAATCTAACTATTGCATTACTCATTTATCAATTGGTTTATGTAATGGAGGATCCAGCAGGAGGTTCATGGTCCTTCAAACAGCTTTGTAATGACTACAATAAAGCAAATAGAAATTCTCAATGGAAGCACGAAAACCCTTAAGAGATGTAAGAAGCCAATGCATGGTTCAAGCCAGTGGTATCCACCCAAAACCCCAAAGTTTCCAATAAGTATTATGTGTTTCAATTGTGATATATTACAGGAAAAATAAGCAATAGATAAGCCAAGTGCATTCCTAACAAATTCTAACTGATTTCAGCCGATGATATCCACAAGAAAAAAAGGCAAACATAAATTGGCCACACATCTAGGATACCAGTAGCCCATGTTTTTGAGTAGGCAAGCTAGAAAAATTACATTATTTCATATTGTTCTCTGAGGATGCTTAAATGAGTCAAGCTTAAAGTGCATTTCCACTTTTGTAGTCAAATTTGAGAAAACCTCTCAATATATTCATTATGCTATTCACACAGCCTGCTAAAAAATAACTTAAAACAAAAATTCTTACCTTTTAGATGTTTTGTTAAATCAGGAAAGATGGCTAATTCCAGAATTATTTACTTAGCCCTTTCACATGTTCTTATAGAAGGACTTGGGACTGAAATTTGAGGCTTGTGTTTATCTGATAAGCTTTATTATCATACAATAGACAAGCCACCACAGACCCCTCACCCCATCACAGCCCACCCTAATTTTTCAAAGAAATAGAAGCAAGAAGAAATGTTAACCCTTAAAACCCTAACCCACCTAAAAGCAGTTTAAACTGCAAGAAGCATTTTTTTATTTTTTGTTTGAGCTTATGTTATGTAAATAGGAACATGTAACAAATATAAAATAGGTGTTATCCCAATTTGGCTGCAAATGTGGAAATACACTTTAAGCACAGTGCAATGGAAGTTTGTGTCAGATATTCTGAATAGGTGATTGAGAAACTAGACACCTTCATGTCTGCTTGCCTAAATTTTTTAAATCCTGACAAACAGGCAATGATTATTTTGTGTGCCAGTAACATGCTATAATTTTGTTATATATTAATATTAAAACTTCAGGTAAAATTGCATTCATTATGTATCCCCTTATATACCTCCCTAGATAAAGGATGATTTTGTTCCAGAAGTACACATGAATCCTTCAGTTGTGTAGTGTTCTATGTAACCTAGATAGCTATTGTTTTCACTATACATATTGTAGTTTAGTAAGCTTAAATTACAACTACAACTAAAATAATTAGCACCTGCAATGAAAAATATTTGTCCACTACGCATAAATCAACATGATTTTGTTAGCTTTTATGGACCAATGAAATTAATTGTAAAGTTTTCCATAGGACTTGTGGATTGGAATTAGTTATGATACTAAACTCATGGAATGTTTGGCTGTTCTATTGGTTGGAGTGTATATTAATGTTGTTCAAAGTCATAGTCAGTTACAGATATACATGTCTGTTAGATGTATGTGTGTTGCAGTACAATTTTGTATTGTAAGTGGAACTGTTTAGTTTTTAAAAAGGAATAATTTGTAAAGTGCATTAAAATGTCAAAAGCTCACACATGTTGAATTTTGTAAATGATCTGTGTGATGTCTTTTTTGGTACAGTGTATTGTTGTGGTTTTTTTGACACTACACACATCAAGAGTTTATAAGTTTAAAAGAAATGTTTTATGAAAGAAATGTGTGTTTTTTCAACCACCTTTGGAGTATGCTAGTTTCTTGGTTATTATGATGACACTTCATTATTTATTCATTTACTGACCCAAAAAAGTATGGCATCGGAACTCACAACTAGTTATTAGAGAAAGTGCTCAGATTTTTTTATTTTGGTGATCTAGTCAATCTGATCCTGCAATCCATTTTGCAAGACTGATTATTAACTACAGATCACTTTAAACCAGTTCACTTCAATATTCTATACTCCTTTTTGGAGGGCAGGTCCTTATCTCACATATGCTGTGTTTGAGTATGGGTTTTTCACTGCTTCTTGTCATATAGGGTATATACATTGTGATGGCACATACAACAAATAGGACAGTGTACAATACGATTAATACAAACTGTGATTCCCTATTGGCTGAGTCACTGGTGGGCCAGAACAAATCATCTGGATGCTAAGGTGGATGGACTGCTGGCATTTTCTTCAACTAGTAAGGGAACTGGGAAGTGGGCTAAAAGATGTATTTTTAAGTTCACAAGCGGATAAACTGATGATTAATCAGATTAGCTTCAAATCTGGGTTCAGACAAACATTTTTACTCAGTGCCACTCACAGTCTGCATACTTATGCCAGTTAATCACTCAGGGATGTGTAACATGTGTAATTTAACAATTTATTTTTTGTACTGAGCAACTATTTTTCAACTCTCATTTTGCAGTCCAGAAAATAAAACAAGAGTTATAATTGGTTGCTATGGATCAGAGAAAATGTCCTGCTAGGATATTTTTCATAGATTAACCCTTAAAACTGGAGTCAGTATAAAAGCCAAAAACTGTTCCATTAGAATTTTTAGAAGTAGTAGTAATGGGTGGCTATAATGGAATAGCCACACTCCTGAGAACTAATTTAGAGGTACTCATTTCATTATCAATTCAATTTCATTTTACAAATGTAAAGCATCTTCCCTTTTGCAGTATGCCTTTCTACTTTTCCCTGCTTCATCAAAATGCAAACAGCCGCATAAACAGTTGTATATTAGACGTGCAAATATTGTTTCGCTCCGAATGCAAATTCATATTAAATTTCTTGAATTCGGACATCAGGATACATCCAAATGTCCGAATTCCAATGAGGCCAAATGTAAACAAATCTGAATGTTTTTTTTAACTAAAGCATTGGACCAGCTGGTAACTCTACAGGACTGGGATGACACCAGATCAGGCAACAGGTAAAAGGCCAATGAAGCACTGGCTGGATGTTTGCTGCTCAGGGTACTGGTGGAACGATCCACCAAGTGGCAGGCCAGGAGCGAAGTCAGGTTCAAGCCAAGGTCATACACAGGAATCCAAATCTTGACGTGCCAAATCACTGATCAGGAGCAGGGTCAGGAATCATAAGCCAGAGTCAAACATGTGAGATTAGAGAGTAGAGGTACCAAATCAGAAGAAGGAAGGGGAGTCAATGGTCACCAGCCGAGTTCATACACTGGAAATCAGGATACAGGAACAGAGTACAGGGCACACAGGGACTAGCTGATGACCACTTAGCAACTTGATCATGGCCTCTTGTCAGTTTATAAAGATAATGAGCGTGCGCCCGTATGCTAAGGAGCATGCATCCGTAAGCTCATGTGCGTGTGCAATTGCGCATTAACGTTCCAATACACAAGCGTCCATGTGCTAAAGCGCGTTTACCAGGAACTTTTAGGAAAGGATTGCACGCTTGTGAGTGTGCACGTTTTTGAGCAGCAATCAGTCTGCAGGTAAGTCTCTTACAATAATGTTAGATAAAGGACAGTGTCTTTCCAATTCGTTATATGCCAATACCCATAGCAAGAATCTCCATTAACCTGTCTATTTGCCAATCAAATAGACACTGATCACTGAGTATCTGGATCTCCCCTTTTTCTTTTACAAACTAGGCATTTGTACATAAGACAATGATGTATAAAATTAAAGTATTTCAAAACACCCTTGATCGATCCTTATGGTTGTGACAAGGGTTGCCATTAAAACATTTTACATGATAGAAGATATGTACCATTCATTTTGAATGTTTGCAATATGCTATGAACAGATGTATGCATCTTTCACCTGGTCATGCATAATGCGCTAACATGTTGGTGGTAATCTTTTTAACATTTTCCTGTCTTTAATCATGTATTGCAGCTGTTGATCTGATAAAGGCCTGTATTCCAATGCTCACCCAAAATTCTTATTATGGAATACACCATCTTTGATATTACATCTCAAGAGTCTTATATGTTTAAGATGACAGAAGGGATGAGGTTCGGGTTTGCCGCTACCATGGGATCCAAGCAAATCTTGTTGGTTTGAGATTAACGGTTCAGGCTAATTTATGTGCAGAGTCACCTGGGAGAGTTATTTCACCCATAATGCACTGCATGACCTTTGAACTATGGTCAGGAGGCATAGAATGGCCAATAAGGGGGCTTTTGGTTAAGCCAACCCCTTGCTATAACAGGGGATGACACAGAATAGCCATAGTGTAATTAAGCTGTTGCAGGGAAAGCATAGGGAAATCTGACAACCTGTATAGGGAGATATTAGCGTGGGCAATCGACCCCTTTGCT